AAGTGGCTAGCACAGAAAAAGCTATATATAGAAAAAGAGATTTAAGCAAAAAAATTGAAGTCTAACACATGTTCAATGTTGGATGAAAACAGAAATGAAATATTCATGGAATTTACTTTCTAATATCTTTGCACATGTTTTTTTTTTTTTCTTTCGTTCATTGGTTTTCCAAAATTTCATCCTGACAGCTCACTCCACGTTTAATGACAGAAAGACTTCAGAAACTTTTCACTGAGGAAATCTTAAACATGACTCATACATTTCTAAACACCTAATTCAATCCTTGTTTTCGAGTAATTTTGGTAGCCATTGAAAAAGGGTGCATTGTTTTGCTTCAGCATATAGTGAGCCATGAAAACCAAATTCTGTTTACAGCAGGACCAGATTTTCTATTATTTTAGACAGTCATTTTCACAGAAAGACCCTTTATATGTCATTACTAATGACATTACAACCTTCTCTAGTTGCCCTCAAGACCTGGCTGCTTTGTAGCAGACAATGTTTGACATCTTAGTTTGCAATCTCAGAAAAAGCCAAGAGAGCAGCAACTGTCCTGTCAGAAATAAAATGGCCTCAGAAGCTGGTAAATATTTCACATCTCTATGGTGATGTGATAGAAATGGGTATGCTCGAGTCAAGAGTGAGCCTGCTTTGTGATTAACTGTAGATGTCAATACTGAGAGGTACCTGCAAGGCAATTAGCACTGTACTTGCCTAAATGTCACCCCACTGTAAATACGGAATGGGAATAAATAGACAGATTGGCCTGGTGCGTGTTTGGATTTGGAACAAGAATCTCAGAAATGTGATTCCTAACCATGCCAATTTTTTACTATGTGCTGCTGATATGCTACAAAAGACCTCTCTCTTCCTTTTCTTTTTTTTCTGGTATGCTGTAAGGTTAATGCCACCCATCTCTCCAAAATGTCACAGGGAGATCCTTTCTAATCAAAGCCATTGTCGTATTGATGAATCCTAACAAAAAAATCCACCAAAAAACCAAACCAAACCAACAAACAAATAAAACCCCAATTATCAGAAAAACCACCCTCTAAAAGTTTCTGTAGTTAAGGCTGTAAATGCTAAGACTGAAGTAGAATTTCTTTTGCCATTAGAGCCCAAATTGATAAATTTTATTATATGCTTTACAGTGGCTATTTAATTGGACAATCCTTTTTTGTCCTGTCTTCCCCAATCTTACAGTCTTGTGAACGACTGAGAACAGAGTCACAGCTCCAGGCTGAGAGTTAAGGAGCAGAAAAACAGAGGCTGATGTCACTGCTATGCAGAACTGAATATACATTACCAGAATATCCATCAAACTGACATTTCACAGTTTAACTTCTATAAAAAGGGGAACAACAACACTGACCACCCTCCTCCACCCCTTTTGGGCATTCAATCGTGATTCTACTGTAGATTAAAATCTGGAATGTAACTCTTTCTAAAGACTGGGAGGGGGGCTTTTCTGTTTCATCACATAGCCAAAATTTTATTTTTTTCTGGTGTTTTTCTCCTTTTAACTATAACATATTAGCTGCTGGTGGCCTTTGGAAAACTAGAGGATCAGATGATGCTGGCTCTCCTTCTTTCCATCTGCTAGCCTACATAGCAAGAAAACTACTATATATGTTAAATATTACTTTTTGATGAAACTAATTAGTACAGATGCAAGAATCTCATGGTCGTGAAAGGTTTTGTGACAGAACTTAAAATTAAAACTCATCTAAAAAGTTGGAAATCCTTGTCTACAAAGGTCTTTCATTAGTAGCACACACTAAACAATGATCACTGCCGTACGATGAGAGACAAATTAATGAATCAAACATTACAGATTTCATCACACTGGCTCATTTGCATTTAAGCTGGTTTCCAGCTCTGTCATGCATTTGCTTTTAAACGAGCCCCTGTGGATAGTGCTGCAATGTTTGATTCATTAATTTGTTTCCCAGTGTACAGGGGTGCTCACTGTTCAGTATACGGTGAAGTACTTGGAAAATATTTGTTTTAACAACCTATCTTTTATTTTAACAAAGAAATAATAACCCTGGAGAAGGAAATGCTGGCCATCTTACAACACAGCCCCTGCCAAATCTCCCAGTTGCTACCCCAGCCCATCGTTATACCACTGTGATATTATCTGGATTAAATCTTCACAGCTTGCTCCCACATATTCTACAATTTCATAAAGCTTTGAGCCAGCTCTTTGGGTTAGTGTTACGATGCCAAATTCAGCTCCTGGGAAGTTAAAGGTGGCTTTAAGCCTTTGCTCTCCGATCCTTGGATTGGTCCCAAGCAGTGACTTAGATGAGCCTCGCGGCTGCCCGGTGACATTCTGCCACCGCCGTGCCTGCTCCACCGGCTCCTCCACATTACAGCAGAGTGGGCTGCTTGGCAAAGCCATCTCTGCGAGAGCTGAAAAACTTTGGAATTGGTTTTTGGTTTGTAACAGCTTGAATTTGGTGACCTTACAGCACACTGAAAGCTCCATCTGTTTTAGAAGGAGAGAGAGACACGTTCCCTGGCTGGGCAGTGCACGGGGACGAGCGCTTGGTAATTAGATGGGTGGCTGAATTCTCAAGTTCTCGTCTGAACCTCAAAATTTAAGTTTATGTACTCAAATACAACCCCAGTTATACATGCGTAGCTATGCTGTAGCCATCACTGCTCACGTTTAATCCGAAAGAAATAAACACACAGAGCAAATGAAAAATATGGAAGCTGGTTTGGTAGGCAGGAGGAACAGGAGAACCAAATGCTTCTCTAGCTAGAATTTCCCTTCCTCTATCATGGCTGTGATGGATTGCAGCTTATAAAGGCAAGCCCATATGACAGGAGGATTGGACTACGGGATTCGTGGAAATGAGGGTCTAATTAAATGAGCTGTGCTTTTCACGGAGCAGGCAGGTTTTCATATGCCGAGAGATGGAGTTAAGTGGAATCAGCAGATTACTCTGCACAGCCCTTTCCTACCACTTTGCCTTTTTCATTTTTGTTTTAAATATGTTGAACAGGAAAAAAAATAAATGTAATTGATACCAAACAAAATAAACTATCAAACCAGAAAGGTAACATCCTAAACCTGAATTTCTGAGGTCTGACGTGGAAAACAACAAAAATCTCCCCTTTGCTTACTCCAAGTAATCCATAGATTCAACTGCACGCTAAAAAAACCCAAACAACCCTCCCCTCCCTTCACTGTCAAACATAACCAGCAAAGTTACAACGTGCTGACTGCAACCAACCCAAAGGCCACCCTACAGCCAGAATATGATGATCCCAGGAGAGGCCAAGTGCTGCATATCAGACCGTCCTTCTACTGATTAACACACAGACAAAAGTTGTCTCCTGTTTCCATCCCACCAGAAAGCCCTCGGGAAAGACCATTCCTCTTCATTGCCTGTGAGGAAGGAGGGATGAAGTTCCTAAGGGACAATAATAACTTTGGAAAGACAGCTTGACATTTTTTCCTAAAATGTATACCTGGTATTTTCTGCAGCAGAAAACTGCTTGGTCTTTCCTTACAAATCCAACATCATGTCCTATTTAACCATCTCCTTAGTTTTACCTGAAAGGAACTATATAATGGGAAATTCTAAAAGTTATCTGAGAGGCTGAAGAAATTTAATGTTTATTGAAAGGAATGTACTTCACTGAAAAATACATTTTTAAATACTAATCTCTATGTTTTTCTTCCTTGAAGGATTGTATTTCACAAACACAGACTAAATACTCTCAGAGAAAATACTCTCAGAGAAAAGCTAGGCTGCCTTCCCAAGAATAAAAGAATTTATAAATATTCCTGTAGGAGCTTGCACAATCCAATTGCAAGACAATTTTACATTAAATACCCAGTTAGGTCACTCTTGCTCAAGGAAATCCCTTTCTTACACACATAAGTATACTGAATCAAGGAAATATAGCAACAAATACTCAAAAAGAGTGTTGGGAAGATGAAAATAAGGAACTCCACGTCAGAGCATGTTAACTGCTCTACACTGCTGATCCCTCCCCAGCTCTCCCACCACACCCACGGAGCTGGAGCAGGAATGGTGGAGGAGGAAAGAAACTTTTCCATGAAGGGTGTGCTGTCCTACTACTGCCTTAAATCATGAGAAACTCTTTGGCTGGTTCATTCTCTAACTCATAAAATGCCTCCAGTGCACTGCATGGCTTAGTCTCTTGAAATAGCTGATTTCACAACAGAGTGCATGGTCAAATGTCACAACATTTTGGTCTGCTTTCAGAAATCAGCCATTTAAAAAGCCCCCCAAAAACCCAAACCACCCTTAACACTTCCACAAGTGCGGTAAGCCAAAAAAACCCAACCAATAAAACCCCACAAACAACCCAACTGCAGCAAGGAAGATTCATGTTAAACATTAGCAAGTTAATTGGAGTGGTCTAAATTTTGACACCAGACTTTTAGCCACCTACAGAAGGTGACTCTATATTTTTTTGAGGATTCAGCAACACTTCTGACTCCACTGGCTGGAATACAAGTCAAATGGATACCTGTATTTCAGGTGGTGAACTCAGGGGAAATCAATCCCAATCTAATGAAATCAATGCAGTTTATTTAAGCACAACACCCTGCTTATGGTGCCTGTGAACTTCCATCACCAGTTTTTCGTTGGAGATCACAGACTCATCTCTGTCAGGGAGAGCTGAGGGAGGGTTTCCTGCAAGGAGGTGCCATGAAATTCAGCATCATTCTGGTTAACTCTGCCTCAGCTCTTCCCAAAATTTGTATTTGCTGTTTTATTTACTCACCAAAGAAAACAGATTCATCAACGTGAAAATAAACTAATGGGCTTAAACTGTGAATATGAAAGAGTCCTCCTCTACTTCTCACTGATACCCTTCCTATTTACAGAAAACTCACATATCAATTAAATTCACCTGTTAATTAAAAGCTCGTCTGGAAAATTCTTTGCTAGTTGGAAGCAAAAGAAAGTATAAAAAAGTATCTGAATGCTGAAGCTTTGAATTTTAATTACTTACTCCCAGGTTTGTTTGTGATCCCTCAGGTGTTGGCTGGGCAACAGCAAAGAACTGGAAAAAAAGAAACAAAATTATTTTGTAATTCCTGCTGTGGGGAAGAAAATGTATTGAGAAGGCTTCCAATTCTTTCTTTCTTATCTTGTTTAGATTTGCTCTTTATTAATGTACTTATAAGAAAGTATCTACACAAAAAGGAAAAAGATTCTGGAAGATTACAGGCAACCACAGTGAATAATTGTTCTCCAGATTTGATATCTTTTTTTTTTTTTTAATAATATGAGAATTCCTATTGTGTTTGTCTCACAATGGAGAATATCAGTATAACTATAAATGAGAATAATGCTAATAAATTTGGAATAAAGGCTACAGTTTGTATCAGATAATCTATTACATATACATATTAAATTTGTGTTGTTTATTTTAGATGCATCTAAATAGAAAAGACATTAGCAGTTTAATAAAAACTCTAAGACTCATCGAAATATGATCCCTTCCTCTAGCTACCCGTATAATAACAGTTGGGGTTCTGACCATTTTCTTTCTTTCCTACCATTTTTAGAAAAATGATCTTTTTTTTAACTGATCAGAATACTTTGCTAAAAAAAAAAAAAGAGAGCCTGGAAAATAAACATGGAAGCAGGGGATAGTTTTTCTGCTTTTCCTCATCAAGATAATCACCCTCCCCCCCCCAAGTCACAATATTTTAATAACATGAAATTTGTAGTGTCCCTTTATTAGGGATAAATAGCTGAGACACTGATTTGGATCAGCAATTTTTCCAGTTGGAAATTTCATTTTGACCTTTTACAGGGGAACTTAAAAGATTTCATGAGGTTTCTGATGAATCTCTGCCTGTGAACAACTTGGCCATCTGAATCAGATGAAGATTTACACATTGAGTTCTCCAAAAACCAGGATGAGGACTTGGATTTTTTTCCCCCACGTACACACAACATAAGTACAGCTGTTTAAAAAACTTCAATTATCAGTTAAAATACTGTTCTTTCAAATTGACCTGCACACAACTAGACGACAACAGCACGTGTAATTGTAGTGACTGTTCACTTTAAGAAATCTTCCTCAACACACCTAAGAGCTTCAAATTGCACAAAAAAAAAAAAAAGGTCAACAGGCCCATAAATGATGAACAGTTTATTTGTTCTGCAAATAAGCCACATTCAAATATACTGAGGGAAAACACTAAGCAGGAGCTGAACACAGGTGAGTGTGGCTATTCAAGTCTGATACAGGTTATAGGACAGCTGAAGAATCAGATGCTGCTTTAAAGTGTGTTTAAGGGACAGGGAATATTAAACAGCTCAGATTCCACTTGCAGTAAGCTCATGGTGAAGGTTTCCTCATCAGACGAGCACGACTTTATGAACTGTAACAGCACAAGTCATTTTTGGTTATTACACTCATCTGAGTGCTGCTGGTTTAGCAGTGTATATTCAGTTATATATTCAGGTAGAGACTTTTGCTCACTGTGTACAGCTAAAAATCCTGGCTATTGTGAAAGTCAGTAATTTTAGTAGTCTTAAATAAATTAAAATATTAAAGTGTATTAGGAGTGGATGAAGAATAAATCATGAGAAATTCAGTCACAGTTTAAAAAAGAAAGAAAGAAATTGAAAAAAAAAACCAAAAAAGTAGGCAGACCTCTATCATCCTTTTTTTTTAGGTGAATGTCTTTCAAAGGAAGACAAAAGTTTATTTACTGCAGTAAAACTGGGGGAAACCCCACAATACATTTCAAATACCCAATCTACCCTTAATGAGACATTTTATGAATCTGTAATTCATAAAAGTATGCCTTATGAAAATTCAAGATATCAGCAGGTCTTATGTAGGTTACTTGTAAATATGACTTTAAAAATTAATACACGTTCTTTCTGGAAGAATGAGAATCATCTCTGCAAAAATGACAATGCCACATGCAGCTGGACGTTGACATTAAGAGACAAGGAAGTATTTTGTAGCTAACAAAAAGGGTGATTTGGGATGTTTCTATCTAAGAATTTATTCAGATACATCTCCTATTGTTATTCACAAAGGCTTGGCTTTTCCAGTGTGGGGCAGAGGGACCACGTTCACTCCAAGGCGATGAAAATGCCTTCCAAACAGCCCCTCTATTCTAGTGACAGCAGGGTGGGCTGCAGGCACAGCGGGATTACAACTAATGCACAAGTATCTAAGACAATAAAGGTGTTAGGATAACTTGGGTTATCCAGTGGGATGGGTAATATCCATCACTCCTGAAAAATTCATCCTTTGCATTTGCAACCAGCTACGTAGAAAAGCACGACATGAACCTGTAACAGAGAAGTCTCTGCCATGACTGAATGCAGACCAAGGCACATCAGGGGAAGCTCACCCTGAACTTGGTTTTTTAAGATAAAATATCATCTCTTAAGCCAGGTTAGGAATATCTAAACTCATGTCTCACATGATCTGTAAACTACAAACAGCAGCTGTTGCAGTGCACCTGACCCTTGACAGTCACTGATGCAATTAATAAATAAGCCACTGAGACTCAAAAACGTCTTTATATTACCAATTATGGTGTCATTGGACCCTTTTCTTCCTTGTATTGACTGATCTTCTGGAAATATGGGTGGAAGATAGAAATTCCCTGAGAGTTTTTCCAAACATCAATTTGTCCTTATATCTAAAGGGTGAGAAAATGTTAGGCATCCTTTCCTGCTTATGACTGAAAAAGCATGGAAAATACACTGCAGATTTCCCAGTGCTTTGCATTGTGCAGAGTCTTTAATAAAAATACCAGCTGAAAATAATTTTAAGTTCCTAGGAGAAATGGTAAATGCTAACGATCATTTTCAATCTAATTCTCATGAGTTTTCCCTCTCCTTAGAACTAGTTTCCCAAGTTGATTTTTTTTTTCATTTTTTCATTCTTCTCTTCTTGTATATTTCCTATACTTAAAATTCAGATGTGTTTAAACATCAACACAAAAACATTCACAATTTTGACTGTTTTCAGGCAGCATTTGTCAGCTCACTTAACTCAGCTCCAAATTGCTCTAAAAGAGGGGGGGAGAGTTAAAGCACAGTAAGGAATTCTTATTCATGGATTCCTGCTTTTTTTTGTTATCTTGTTGGCATTCAATATGAATTCCAGTATTTTCTGCATATTACTCTTCATTTGGGTTTCCTGAGGAGTGGCTGTTCCCTTACTTTATGGCAGCTGTCAGTGACTTCTTCCTAATAGTTATGAGACAGAATCCTCTATAAAAATGGCAAATCATATTAAGCTTCTCTATGATCCTTGATTTTCTGCCAGCACATCTGATCCATTTCCAGAGTACACCAGTCCGGATGTGTGCCTTGATTAATAAATAAACAGTTCCTGTAAAACTTCTCTTTTCTTCTACCATCTTAACCCTCCATGTTTTTTTAAGAACTCCGTGTTATATTTCAAACTCTTTTCTTAAGAGAACATCAGTAGTGTCTTAGGTCTGAAACTTTATAAATGGAGCCAATCTTTTGCTAGGGAAGCTTTTGGCAAAATATTTTTTTCCATGTATTGCACAGTCTGTTATCGCCATGATCAGCGCAGATTTTGTAAGTCCCAAAAACCTGGTCTCCTATGAGTGAGAAATTCCACTTCTCCAAATGAAGGGAAGGGATAATCTACGGGAGTTAGCATGGAAGTCATTCCCTCACTGTTGAACGCTTCTCTGGCTCTATTCGTGGCAAATATGAAAAAATACATCTGTCATTATGTTTAATAATACAGACATGCTTCATCTGAGAGATGGACTATAGCTCCCAAAATAATTTCAAGTTGTCACTAAGTATTTCAAGGGCTGAAATTAAAAAAAAAGTAGCTGCTGCCACCTTGACCTGCATCTGCACAACTTCTGCAGAAATCATTTATCAATTCCTTTATCAGTTAAAAACTAATTTACTGGGATTTACTGTTATATTTTATTTAGTATTCTATATAAATATCACATTTAACATATTTTTAGACTTACAATCTGCTTTTCTACACTCCTGTAGTGGTGCAGAGGAGGGAAAGTAGCCTCAGTTCAGACCTGCCTGTGCTGAGTGTAGTGGCAGCGCAGCACAGGAGGCTCCTACCAGCTGAACACAGGCAGTGTGGGATAATTTCCCAGCCTCTGGGATTCCACACCCAAAGAGTGTGGGATGGCATCAAAAGCTGCATTCTCCAGCACTATGCAAGACAGCTCTTTCTCAAATTTGACTACTTGTCCAACCCTGCTAATGAGAGGGGAAAACAAATCCAGAACATGAGCCGGCACTTTAGGCTGGTACACCAGGTGCTTCTGCTTTTGGATGAATGACGCCAGGATTGAGGGCTGGGTCACATTTTTTTCTCACAGAAATCACGGCCCTTCACTTTGAGAATCTCCAATTTACACCAAAAAATTATGGTGATGCCTTTCACTAATTCCAAGGATTCATACACGAGGGTGAAATACTCTGTCAGTAGAGCAGAAAGCGCAGATCGATAGATCAGAGAAGGATCAGAGCGGAGCAACAATCATACTGTAAATGTCAGAGCCGAGCAATTTCCACACAAATAAAATCAAGCTGCCATGGGCAAACAGTTTCAGAGTGGAGGTGTCAGACTGCTGGGGAGTGCCTGCGCTGCAGTCCCAGGGTCACTCACACGGGAGCAGGTGCCGCGACACTCGGCGAGGCAATATCACAGCTCTGCCCTCACACACAGCTGCTCCCCGGGAAGGCAAAGCTTAACACTTCAAAGTGACTTCCACACCCCACGCCCCCCTCACAAACCGAAGAGCTCAAGTCAGGAACTTTCACTTCACAAGAAAATGCTGAGGCTCTTTTTTTCTCCTTAGTTTGCAACTTCCTCTTTCTGGAAGAGCAAACAGGGAAGATGCAACATTCATATCTTGTGATTTGCTACAGCCCGTGGTTTCACATTCTCTCCCCAGAACATCACAGAGGTCTGACAACTGAGCACAGCTTGCCTTCTGATCCAGACAACTGATGCATCAGGTTAGGTCTTGCATGAGAATCTGAGGAGTAAATGTGACTCTC